ATTACCAAAAATGGCTGATAAAAATAGTGGGCACCCCCCCACTCCACCCCCTAAGAAAATTATCAAATTGATAGTCAAGCAAATGCCATTTCCAGCATTTTCAAGTGGTGTTTCTCACCAGAAAGACAATCACAATCGAGAACAAAAAACATTTATTAAATCTAAATTTGCAGAAAGCTCTTCCTGTGCCTGCAGGGTTACACAAGCCCAAATACCATTTTAAGCCTTTTCCTGGAGACATTCTAAGGCAGTCTCTCTTATCTCTGTGATCGTATTTAGAGAAAATAAAAAATAAGAGAATTTTCCGTCAACAAATGCTATGAATAAACTCAAGTTTATTGCCTGGTGTAATAGTTTGATCAAATTTTATTGAATTTGTAGAATGAAGTATAAAGGAGAGAGATTTTTGTTTAGTTCCCTGACATTTGAGGACGAATGAAGGAATTCCAGTGAAAACTACCTAATAAAATGATTGAGAAATTGTAATATACCCGTATTTATTCATCTATAAGCCAAGAGATTTTTTCACAAAACTTTACCAAAATCTCGAAAATTTGAGCTAGGGAAGGGTTCTCGGCTTATAGCCGAGTGTTTTTTCAAACATAATTTTTCCGAAACAGCAAATTCAAAGGAAACATAGATATAATCATCTATAAGTCGAGATTTTGCATGCAGAAATAAATAACAAAACAAGTTGAAGTTGGTCATTGCATTTATTCATGTGGTGGCTTCCAAAGGAGCAGTTTATTGTTTTCGGCATGTAGTAAATACGGCTTGCTGTTCGTCCTCAGTGTCGGCGTTGAATTTGTCGTCCATCTCCTCCTCATCCACTAGTTCTGCTGTTTCTTCTGAGTAGAATGCTTCATCTTCCATGCCATCTCGACAGTTAGAGATTCTGCCAAAAGTTTTTTGATTATTTCAAAACTGACCAATCAGAATTGCCCATCCCACAATTGGTAAACAAACTCTTACAGTACTGAAATTTGCAGTCACATAAAAAGAAGACTTACCTTGGCTTCTCTGCTCTGTAAACCAGTAAAGTAATCTCTCATTCAGCCGCAGATATTTCAGAGTATAGTGGTCCATTGTTGTGCATTTCGCTGACATCTTGAGCTCTACATTAAAGAAGTTCTCTTGATCTTTCCTCCAGCGGCTGACCATAGACTCACCAATTACACACCCTCCAGTTATCTCTGAATTGTTTTTGATGGCAATACTGCATCGAAACACTTTTCTGTTTCGAAACTTTTACGTTCATTTCCGTTTGTTTAAGAATGGAATTCTCTGAATATGGTCTTGGCTTATAGCCAAGTATGTTCAATTTACATGTTTTAAGAACCTTCCCAATTAAAACAGACCAAAGTTTAGGGTAAAGCTGAGTTCGGCTTATAGACAAATAAATACAGTACTTTACTTTTCATAATAGGCCTTTTGCAGCTGGGGTCACGTGATCAATTTTAGATAAATATTATGGGATACAACTTGAAGAATACCAGAGATGAAAAGAGCATATCGAAAATACCAAAATGGCCTAGTTTGGACCCCAGGAATTACAGAGCATTGTTTTTACAGCGGTTTGAACTTTCGGAAAATTTATAGGATTTGTATGGAAAATGTTGCTGGAGAGCAAGGCCTTGCTCTCCAGCAACTTTTTCCATATAAACCTTCTTATTTATTAAAAAATTCAGAGTGTCATCAAATCTCATTTTTGAATAATGGAGGTCTCAAACTTGGCCATTTTGTTATTTTCGAAATGCTTTTTCCTTTTCTGAATTCGGCTAACTTATAGCCCATAATTTCATGAAAAGTAGGTCACGCGATGGCTTAGCTGCAAAAGGCCTATTCTACCAAGGAAATGAATATGCTGGTCAGACTTGCTCAGTATCTAAACTTTCGATGTTATTTCGTGAGTGAAGTAGCCGGCAATTTTCCTCAGAGTAGCCTGCTATAATCGCCGACTGCCGGCTACTAATGACAGCCCTGCAACATGCAGACAGCTGTTTCCCAGGACTTGTCATCGGGGCTTCAACTTTCAGCAGATCATCCAAGGAGGCAGAATCTCGCTCAAGCGGAGCTCCCTGAATGATTGACAACAGTTCTGCTGTCAGTGCCTTTGCCACCATCAGCTACAGCCATTTCAACAACTCAATCCAGTCGCAAAGACCAGCTAACACTTCAACTCCACATGGAGTTGCAAGATCTTGAAATAAAGCGGCTACAGCTAGAATTGCAGTTGGCCAAGCTCACATTCGCCTCCAACAAGGTAAAAACCCCAAAACCTGACGAAACTGTGAGGTCTGCCGACAGGTCAAGCGAGAGGTCCCTTGGTGATCAACACACCCCTGAAAGGATCACAAACCAGCAGGATTGGCCACATATCTTGGCCCCAGGTGAGCCAAAATTATTCTATGAATTGTCTATGGCTGAATTCTCCGCCGGTTACACCGTAATCATACAGCGCTGCACAGATGCTTCTCGCCGAGCAGCAATCATCTCTCATTTTCATGATCTCATGGTCCTTGCGTCAACATACACATGGTCAGCAGTCCGCATCTATCATTATAAAGTCTTGAGAAGTATCAAAATGGGCCTTGCGTCCTGGGGGGATTCCTTCGACTTGCTCATGCAGCCCTTTTTCTTGCCAACTGCCCTCCTCACGGATTCACCCAACAAAACCCATGGCCGCCCTTCCCCCAGACAGCCTTCAAGCTCAGCTTCCAGCCACTCCATTTCCCACAGTGAAATTTGTGATGCCTGGTCCTGGTACTATGACTGCAAAAGCCATGAGTGCCCTCTCCGTCACATCTGCATCGTGAGCAAGCGCAATACCCAAGCCAAAACATGTCCCAAACGGAAGTATCCGGTTCCACCATGGCGCCAAGACCCCAGCACTCTCCAAGACCGAATGCCTTTACACTTTGCTTGCCAGTACCCTCTGGTCTCCAAGTGCATGAATGGAGAGCTCGGTTACAAGACTACTACGACACTGACCTCTATAACTTCGTAGAGTTTGGTTGGCCAGTCAGTTACACAGCAGCCACTCTTCCCACATCTACTTTCAAAATTCACCGCTCAGCTTTGGCAGAACCCGATCTCATTCAATCTTACCTGGACAAGGAGTGCAGTTTAGGTGCTACTTGCAGTCCTTTTTCAGCCAACCCTCTTTGTACAGAGTTGACAATTTCCCCTCTCTACATTGCCCACAGTCGTTCGGGAAAATCACGTGTGGTCATCGACCACAGCTTCCCCTTCAGCTTCTCGGTCAACGATGGCATTCCTAAAGACTCATACCTTAATGAACCCCTCACCATCCGATTACCCGGCACTGACACCCTCGTCAAGATCATCCTCCCAAAAGGCCCCGGATACCTCTTCAAGAAAGATCTGAGCCATGCCTACCGTCAGCTACGCATCAATCCCCGAGACTTTAATCTCCTCAGCGTACAGCACCACGATTATATGTATTTAGACATGACCCCCCCTTGCGGCCTGCGTTCCACTGCGAAGATGTGTCAGCAGACCACATCGGCAGTCTCACATGTTTCAGAAGCTTGGCTATCACTGCACGAATTATATCGATGATTTCGGCAGCGCTGAGTCCTTGAGCAAGGCAACTAATGCTTTTGAGACCCTCCGAGAACTTTTCTCTGTTCTCAGTTTGGTATCTTCACCCAAAAAAGATTGTGCCCCCTCCACCTACATGGCCTTCCTGGGACACAGCCTTCCATTGATATGACAATGTCCATGACCCCACAACGCTTGCTCGAACCCCTATCTCGTTGTCGCTCACTGCTCACTGAGGACATTCTTCTACGCCATGATCTTCAGTCCTTGCTTCCAGTAATGTCCTTCGTTACTGCCTGTGTCCACCCCACCTGCATTTTCATGTCTGGCCTACTAAATACCTTACGCGCCAACCTGTCTGCACGCTTTTGTCCATTATCTTTGGAAGACAAATCGGACTTGCGCTGGTGGTGCCACTTCCTCCCACAATTCAATGGCGTGACCCTCATCAAATCTACTCCTTGGCACAACAACCCTTTCTTCCTGTCCACAGATGCTTGTGCATCGGGAGCAGGCAGCTATTTTCAGGGACAGTATTTTCACACTCCTTTTCCCGGGCACATCCTGAAGCAGTACGGTCACGACATCAATATCCTTGAGCTGTTGGCAGTCATGGTGGCGCTAAAGCTGTGGGCTCCCGCTCTTCCCCATCAGCGCTTCATTCTTAGCTGTGATAACAAGAACTGCGTCCTGTCTTTGAACTCAGGCTGTTCTCGTACTCGTGCTATATAGCTGTCTTCACGAGATTTGGTTTTCGTCAGCCGCTTTCGACTTCAAGCTCGCCGCACATCATATTTAAGGCACCTCCAACTCCATGGCTGATCACCTCAGTCTTTGGCATCTATCCCCAGGTCACAAGGCTCATTTTGATGCTCTGACAGTGGACATCCCCACAAAACACGTACCCTGCGCTGCTGACCTCTTCAATTTCAACATGCGTATCTAACACTACAATTCTCTTTTGCTTACTCCACAGATCCAGACCACGCCCTTGCTACCTCATCAGTCCTCTCTTTGCTTCACGACTATGTCCAGGTACCAGTACGTGTTGAATTACCTCAACTCCATTCGCCTTCTCCATTTACATCACAGTTTTGCATGCGATGCTTTGAGCAGCTTACCCTTGGCCCACACCAAGAAAGGTCTCAAGCATATCATGGGCATAATGTCCCGCCAAAAGCACCCGATCACTGTCAATCTACTATGACGCATGAGAATGGTATTGGACTTGTCCATTCCAACACAGGCTGCTCTTTGGTGTCTGTTCTTGGTGGCCTTTTTCTGCTTTCTGAGAAAATCCACCCTCATCACCCCCTCTGCTCGCGCTTTTAACCCATCGAAACACCTCACCAGCAACGACATCAAGTTCTCTCGCAATGGTGCAGTTCTCCAAATATGCTGGTCCAAGATGTTGCAAGAAAGAGAAGGCATTCTGCTGATTCCTCTTCCACTTATCCCACACTCCGACCTTTGCCCAGTTACAGCCATTCTTCATTATTTCCAATTGGTGCCAGCTGCTGCCAACGCGCCGTTTTTCTGCGTACCTCGGGGGCACATGCTTTAGCCCGTCACATTCTCTCTTTTCTCCAGCTTTCTCAAAGAAACCATCACAGCCGTCGGTATAGATGCCACGAAATTCTCCCTACATAGATTCTGCCCAGGTGGTGCCACACACCTGTATCAGTCAGGGGTTCCTGACCAACTCATCAAGGTGCACAGGGACTGGCGCTCAGATGCTTATAAACTTTACCTGTCTTTGCGTGTGGCCACACGCACCTGCGTCCTGGATGTTGTGGCCGCCTTGCTCTTTAATACAGTGTAGTCAAGTTATCACCCTCTTTTTTTTTCTTTTCTTTATCATTTCTAATTTTCATTAATAGTGTTTTCTTTTCATCCCATTTGGGCCTTTTTTTTTTTACATACTAATTTGGGGATTTTACTATTCTACAATTAAATGAAATTTTTCTGGGCCAAACGTGTGTCTCATCGTAATAACATTGTAATGTTTAGAGAATAATTTAGAGGTTTGATTCCAAACCTCTATTGTTAGTGTTATTACGCAACCATAATCTAGCACGATCATGTTTCGTTCATTGCACGTGGTTATCTCGCCAGTGCTAGTTGTCGCTTTCGTTAGCCTCTTCATTGTATCCTTGTTTTTGTTTCCCTCCCCCCCATCCCAGGGGGATTTTACTATTCTACAATTAAATGAAATTTTTCTGGCCCAAACGTGTGTCTCATCGTAATAATATTGTAATGTTTAGAGAATAATTTAGAGGTTTGATTCCAAAATCAAAAGAGGATTCAATAATATCTTCATCTAACACAAGTGCATTGTTGAGTAAAAGGACGAAACATTTTTTAATTGGAAGACAAAGAGATTCCCCTCTGATTTCGCCGTGGACCTCCCGTTTTCGCTCAACATTCTCTGTTTTAGTTTTACAGGTTTGAAATTTCTGGAGACGTTTAGCTGCACATGTAACTGAGTTAGCTACCATTCGACATTTGGTTTCTTTTCATTCTCAGGTGTTTATGTAAACCGACGGATCTTACCTTTCGTCTAGGCATGGTAGTTCGAAAGCCAGCAATTAACAATGATCAAACAAGGCTGTGATGAGTGAGTAATTCATCTCTTCACTGTCCTAAGCTGAAACCCAGGACGCCATTTTGGATCAGCTTAGTATAGATCAGCGGTAACACTAAGTTTGAATATATTTTCACTATATATAACAAACTTTATTTTGTCTACCGTACAGTATGTACCGCTTGTTCACTTGTTGATTGCTTATAGTGCTGTCAATTTCAAAATAAAACTATATCAATTTAAACAACAACAAAAGAAGTTTCGAGTTTTAATTGAACATGTATACTTTTACGAATCTATCGTATTCTCTCCCCTGAAAGGCCTTGAAGGCCACATTTTAGGCCACTGATTAACTGGTCACCTCTGTGATGCATACATAGCGTCCATACAGAAGCCATATCCATGTGAATTAGTTATTCTTCGTACTTCGCAAATCACATCTCCCGCACTTTCCTTTAGAGAGAATTATTCTGTTTTAAATGAAAAACCAGAACCTGTAACGAAAATATTGAACATGGAGGCAAGTAGCCTAGAAGAAAGTGAGCTGAAAGGAATGGAAGTTTGTAATTTTGGTGGAACAGAAATTGCACTCCCGTTGGAGTTCATTGAGCAGGTAAACTCATCATTGAACCCTGTTAAACTGATTTTTTTGTAAACTTACACATTCTCAAACAAAAAGCTATTCCTTTGCAGCTATACATTGTAACTTCTTGTGGGAAATTAGGTTAAATTTAATAATATGAAAATGTCATAATTATTTCATATAGTGTTTGTCAAATTTATAAACAAACCCATGTAAATTTGGTTCACTGGAAATGAAACTTATTGGCTTTTATTCAAGTGATGGAATCTTCAATTATCCAACCAGACAAATTTGCATGTAGGGTTTGTAAACAAGATCTAACTTATACTCCACTGAAGTATATTCATGTATCTAAGAACACTTGGTTATCAAGTGTGCTACCAAACCAAATTCAAATAATTTCATAATGGACCCAAATATCCACTAAAGGGTGTGCTCTATAAGGACTACTTTTTTCGCCTGTGCTGGCAGTTCATAAATTGACTCTTACCAACCAAAGGATGTTTTGTAATTGGCAACCTCTCCTCAGAGGTGGGTAACTATTGCCAAAGGATGACTGATGAAAAATGGCAAGTTTGGGGAGCAGGGATGGTGCAGTGGTGAGAGCACTTGCCTCCCACTGCTGTGGCCTGGGTTCGATTCACGGACCTGGCGTCACACTTGGGTTGAGTTTGTTATTGGTTCTCGTCCTTGCCCTAAGGGTTTTTCTCCAGGTCCTCTGGTTTTCCTCCCTCTGCAAGAACCAACTTTCCACCATCCAATTTGATCTGGTAACAGTGGACAAGAAGAGCCACCCAGTGGAATGTCCATTGCTAAATTATTTAATTATTTATTTTAATTATTTTGAATTTAAAAAAGTGACCAGGCTGGGTCCTACTATATTGTACCGTATTTGCCCGCTATAGGCCGCACTTTTTTGACGAAAAACAATGTTGAAAGTTTGCAGTGCAGCCTATACGTGGGTACAAGAGTTCAGAGCTCATTGATATGCAAAGTTTCCCAACAACCGCCTCCCCGTTAGCTAAATTGATAGAGCGCTGGACTGTTGTGTGGGAGGTCGAGGGTTCGAGCCCCAGCCGGACCAACACTCAAGGTCTTAAAATAATTGAGAAGAATATGCTACCTTTCCTTAACATCAAAGAAATGGTTTAATATTCTAGTCTTCTCGGATAGGGACGAATAAATAGAGGTCCCGTCTCCTGCAGGGTTGGGGTAGGAGACGTTAATTTCCCATGCATGAGATTATTGTGTGATAGATGTCCTCCCCTGGGGTGGGATGGGTGGGTTTACTGGGCCTGCAGTAATTGGCACAAGCTGTCACGGTGTCCCTGCCTGTCGGCGAAGTTAGATAAATTAAATTAACACAATAATCAACAATCTTCCTTAGTTATTCACAATTTTATTCAATGCATTGTACGAGCTTACCTTAAATTAGTCCATATCTTGGAAGAATTTTGCTTCTCTTGGCTGTAATAAGTTTGTCCAGCTTCCAAACATGTTTCTTATTTGAAGACATCTGCTGTAATTTGCGTGGAATAGCCATTCCTTCTGAAGGACCTTGTGAGTGAACCCTCTTTCCATTCACTTGGCAAGAAATCTCTCGTCCATTCTTAATAAAAATAATAACAAGCAATACAGCTGAATTCTGCCAGCAGGTGTCCCACAAGTTTATTTCCAGTTGAATTGGTCTCATAAATTGTGGGTTTCCAGGTGTTTTCATATACATGATATCCTCGTATTTCACTTTTCATTTCATAGTTACAAGAAGCTCCACCCATTTTCTCAGGGTTACTTTTGGCCCATATGACAATTGAATCCTTGAATCACAAACAACTCAAGGGATATTCTTGATAACATTTGCTCTATTCACTTTGCATAGAGAGGGGCTTCATTTTTTTTTCAGTACAACTAGCCTAGTATGTAACCATGGTAACCCACATGTTGCATGCTGTCAAGGAATGAAAACAGGCAAATCATTCTCATTTTCTAAGAAATCACGAAGCCGAAAAGATCAACGAGAGTATCATATTCATCATTTTTTTAAACTTGCTGTCATTACTTGGGAGACCGAGAAGCTGCACGCCAATATGGAGTAGACAAGAAGAATGTACAAAGATGGAAGCATGTAAAATTTTTTCTGCAAATGTTCCCACTCAAGAAGATGGTTTTCTTTCTTAGAGATGTTGTTTTGTTGTAGAATGAAAAATTTAAAAAAGAAAGAGTTTTCTCAACTTTTTCGCTTGATTGTGCTTTGTTACTGTAAAAACTTTTTTCCCTGAGATCAGGTCAATAGTTTATGGTTTGGCCTATACGTGGGTGCAGCCTATACACGGGTAAATACGGTAGTTTGGTTCTATAGTAAAGTAGGCCAAATATGTAAGGGTGCTGTGACACTTCATTTATAACTTACATTAACTTGAAAAGCATGTTGTAAAATGTGATTTACAGAAATGATGGTTGCTTTTTGATTTTCTTGCACTATGATCTTGTGTTTCATTTCACATGATCCAACAATGAGAGACTTGAATCTTCCACAAAGGGCACACCTATTCTGAAATTAAATATGACTCTCTTAAATCTTATCTTCATTTGAATGTTTTTCCAATCATTTGTATTCATTCTGTTTTTTAAATGTTTTTTAAGCAGCAGAGTGAATGCCTTTTTATTTTTCAAGAGTCTTTGTTTACGCAAATTTATCATGTTCAACTTGGTCAAAGTATTCATCACTCACATTGTTTTATGACCCACTCAATTAGGAAGACATATTCTTTAAAGTTGTGAGCAAAGAAACCTGGCTTAATGTTCTTACACCTGCTGATAGAAAACATTTGGAGGTAAGGCAGAAATTGTTGTCACTGATAATGTCATATTGTATAAATTATGTTAATTTGAATTTGTTCTGTGAATTTGTAAAGCAGTGTTTCCCTCATTGGCTATATCCCTTTGAGTAGCCCAATATGAACAATGTCATCATAAGTATTGATGATTATTTTGTGTTTTGTGTTATGTTAAGGCCTTGATGTTAACTAATTTGTATTACCAATAGGATTATGGCTAATAAACAGATAGTTTTCTTTAGTCTATCACAAACATGTAGGTGATGACATGTACTTGAACAGTAACTTAGATATAGACATCACTGGCTCTTTACAAGAACTCTGCACATCGTGGTAACACAACCTGAACTTTTATAGTACCAAATGTATGGTTATGTAGTTTGATTACCATTTGTTTTCTTAGAAATTTCTTCCAGTTTTGCCAACTGATTACCCACATGCTCAGGAAGAGAACATTAGGTGAGCTCTAATGTGACTTCGTGGCTTCATCTTTGCTTTAGCTTAGCAGTTAGGTTTACTGTTCAATAAAACTAATTACAATAGGTTTGTGACAGTCATAAAATGTATTCAACATTACAAACAATGCACCTTGTTCCATATATGATGTATACATATACTATACTGTAAGTACACAATTCAGCTTGGTGGCTGCAAGCTTTTTACAAATAAACTATCTATCTATCCAAGGGATCATACCTGGATTGGTATAATGAGTGATTTGGCTAACGATGTTTGGAATGAGGAATTAAATGATGTCAGAAGTCAGAATTCTGATTGACCAGGGTAACTATAGGCATAACATGGGATTGCCAAAATTCTTGAAAGATTTGTAGCTGTAATTTAAAGAACTTTCATGATGAGATATTGTTCTACATATAGGGACCACCCAGCACACTTTTTAGGTGCCCAGTTTTTAAACCTTTGATTGCACACGAGTTTAGAACACATTTTTTATTTATTTATTTGACAATTAGTGCCTTACTAGGGGGTGAGAATTTCAGATTTGGGAATCCAGTCCAACAATTTCAAGAAAAGTTAAAAGGTGAGATCCTTTTATTTCATAAATCTTGACTCATCTTCTGGTTACTCACAGCTAACAACATTTGTTTGCTGGGTGTGGCCAAATGTGTGGATTCTACTCATTTGATTTGCATCATTCGTATGTCATACATTTGGAAATAACTGGTCTTCCCACATGTGTTGATTGAGTTATTAACTTAATTTTATAGTCACATACCAGGAAAGTGAATCAGAATTCCTGTGTGTAAGCCTCCTCAGATGAAACTCTCAAAAAAGTAACAATATGAACCATAAATTGGCTTTACGTGTTCAGTCCTTGAACTGAGACAGATTTGAAATAATTATTGAACTATATCCATTCAGTCTCTTAGAAAATCTTTGATTAAAATAACAACAACTACAGACAAATTTCTAATTATTATACAGTAGACTTACTATGAAAAATCTGATTGGTCAAGAGCATTCATTCAATATACAATATCATATGAAGCTGACATGATAACGCGATATCTGCCTCAGATGTAGGTTATAATGTTGAGTTCAAAGTCTGCCTAGTTTCTTAGCCCCTCATCAATGTAGTGTTCTTTAACTTTCTCAGATTGAAAAAGTGTATAATAAAACAATTTATTTAATATGGTATTCTGATATTGTGTGATATCACAAAATATCAAACCTTCCATGTGTTTTTTGCCTCAGCAGTTAATTCAGACCTCTGTTTTGATGATTCACAATATCATGCTCAATCTGATCCAGTAATTACTTATCACACACATGTAGAGACCAAAAAAAATGTTAGTGTGTTTAAGTGGATGAAATAATTTCAGGTGAATATTTTTGTGTGTACACTTTAAAAACTCCAAATATCTTAATTGAAAAAAATATGTTCTGATTTTTTATCAAGCTGGCTACTTCTATCCTGATGTTGTAAAGTACAAAAAGTTATGTCGCAAAGCTACGTACAAGGAGTACAAGGTAAACTTATTGGTTGATCTTGTTACAAATACTTTTGGGTTTGTGTGTAAATGTCAACTTTTTTTGTGCTCTATTAGGTTGTAAGAAAAGTTAAACAACTGGAAACTGTAGTAGTCTGAGAATGAAATACAGTAGAGGAAATTTACATTTTAGAATTGATAATTACCACTGACAATCTGTGTCACTTACAATTATGTTTTGATATCAAGGAAATTCATTGTGAAATAGGTCAGAGTAAATGGATTTGTTGTGTATCAGGAGGATAATTTGACCCTTGTCTCATAGATTCAACAACAGAGATATCATAGAAAGGTGCTGAGGGAAATTCTTATATCCCGCCAGGTATAGTCCACTGTATCTTGTTAAATCTTGATTTGAAATATATGAATCAACTGATAAATTAATAAAAGTAGTAAACAATAGGTATTATGGGAATTAATATTCAGTCTCGTATGATTTGCATTGTTATGTGGCTGTACCCCTTATGTCCTCCTTAGCACTATATGAATAGAAATTGTTTTACTTTGTTTAGAGCCAAGGTTCAAACAGTCTATAAAATTTTTATGCTTTTATTCTTTGCTGTTACAAGTTGAAAAAAGAAGTGTTCTCAGTCCTTTACATGAGAAAAAACTTAAATATCATACTTCTTTACCTGCGTTATTTTTATTGCTAAAAAAGGGAAAAAATTGACACATCTTGTTTGCATTTTTTGTGGTCTCTCAAAATGGAAAAAGGTAAATGAAAAAGTAACGCAAAAAAATGGAAAAGTAATGTAACAAAGCGCGTACTCAAGTTGAGTGGAATTTTTTTGAGATACGTGAAAGTAAACTGACCAATACATGAGTCAGTTCTTGACTACTTAATATGTTGAACTTTTGAGTTCAATGTCATTGCCCTTTTTCCTTCAGAATATGTTGGCACATAAAAGGTAGCACAAAGAACTTAGTATACTAGGAGATTTGACACTTAGCTGAAGCTATCACTGTCTTTTTCACAGTTAAATTGGTTACTAGCCTGATAGAGAACCAAGCACAAGTTTTTGATAAATACAATCATCAATTTGTTTTTTCTGTAGGAAATTCTTGATCAGATTGGGAGACAAAGTCCAGGAGAACCAATCAAAACAAGGTATGTGTAGAGTACAAATGTTTTAACTTTTTTCTTCTCATCTTTAAGAGGTAGATGTTTTCTAAATAGTTATATGACTCTCAAGCTGTAATTTATAATTAGCTTTTGATAGTATTTTAATAGAGGTTTTGTTTCACAGTGGACACACACCCTCTACTGATACCTTGGCAATGGAACACAGAGTTCACACACGATTTAAGAGGTGAACAGATTCTTAGTTATTTCAATTACTGATGTCTATATAGTTAGTACACTAAGAGTAGCAGTTTTCAAAGGCCCAACTTGTTGTAATTTTAAATCTACTAGTAAGGACCATGCAAAAACAAAATTAATAGCACTCTCTGGCATTACTGGAATAATCTCCTCGCTTTTCTTCTGCTGTTGCTGGCTTTGATTTTAATAGTTGTATGGATTAAAAAATTAATTTTAAATTATTAATTTGTTATACTCTTTTCCTCTAGTGTACAAATGTATTTCACAGTGTTGGACTTTGAATGTAATTCTGTTGTGTAATTTTTTTGTGGTAACTTTGTGACATGCTAATAATTTAAAGTAAAATTCCAATTGTACAAGAAGAATTTTCAACAGAAGACAAAAATAGAACGTCAAAACATGATTTTTAACCAATAAATGAAATATCTTATTCCAATTTGAAAACTTTTGTTACCATCTCTGCTCTTTTTGTGACTGCTTTTCTGTTTTACTGTTAGTAATCATGATTGTAATCTGCTTAATACAATTTATTCCTTGCATAGCTTACTAACACAGCTTACACTACAAAATTTCTTACTCAGTGCTTAGCATAGAGTTTGTATTTACTTGTGCTAGCTTGTGCTGTATGTAACAGGCACCATCATAAATAGAGAAGTACAGTTTTCTTGAATGGAAAGTTTATTCTTTTACACAGGATCCTCTCAGAATCTAGGCAACAATTTCAGGTAATGAAGTGCAAATTTTATTTTTAAATTTTTAGTACTTTTTCTTCTGAACCAAGAACTAAATTATACTTCTGTGTCACTGAGGAGTTTGATATAAAATTAGCCTTACTTACCATTGGCTGGATTTTTTCTCTTTCTACAAGTATAAAACTGTCAATTAAATTTCAAGATGTTGCTTTTACCTTTTTTTAATGATACATGGTATTGTGAGATGACCTGTCTGGTCCTGCCCATGCAATCCCACAGAAACCATAGTAAACGGTGATGTGTGCAGGGCCAAATGGGTCTGGAAAAAACCGTCTGGCCCTGCTACCCTTGTGTTGCTTTGTTGCAAATTAAAACTTAAAAGAAAACAGAAATGAGAAAAAAAGTCTCTGGGAGTTTCTTATTCTGACATGAAAAAATAAAGGAAAGGATTTTTAATAGCAGAATTTTTTTGTGCTCATGTGGCTGAGTGTGCCTCAGTCTCCATCATGCCCTATCTAGGTTGAAATTTTCAACACTGAGTGGTCTCATGATTAAAAATGCTTATTGACTCAGTTTGGTTGGGCCAGATGGGAAAATATTTGGCTCTCTGTCACAAGGAATGGACCAAGCCCAGCCCAGCCATGTCTGTACATTATGACCTGAAACCAAATATTTTCCCATCCAGCGCAACCAAACTCAGTTAATAAGTACATATTGTCATCCAGCCCAACCAAACTAAGTCAATAAGTATATATTGCCATCCAGCCCAACCAAACTCAGTTAATAAGTACATATTGCCATCCGGCCCAACCAAACTCAGTCAATAAGTATATATTGCCATCCAGTGCAACCAAACTCAGTTAATAAGTACATATTGCCATCCAGCCCAACCAAACTCAGTCAATAAGTACATATTGCCATCCAGCCCAACCAAACTCAGGCGATAAGTATATATTGCCATCCAGCACAACCAACCTCAGTCAATAAGTATATATTGCCATCCAGCCCAACCAAACTCAGTCAATAAGAATATATTGCCATCCAGCCCAACCGAACTCAGTCAATAAGTACATATTGCCATCCAGCCCAACCAAACTCAGTCAATAGGTACATATTGCCATCCAGCCCAACCAAACTCAGTCAATAGGTACATATTGCCATCCAGCCCAACCAAACTCAGTCAATAGGTACATATTGCCATCCAGCCCAACCAAACTCAGTCAATAGGTACATATTGCCATCCAGCCCAACCAAACTCAGTCAATAGGTACATATTGCCATCCAGCCCAACCAAACTCAGTCAATAGGTACATATTGCCATCCAGCCCAACCAAACTCAGTCAATAGGTACATATTGCCATCCAGCCCAACCAAACTCAGTCAATAGGTACATATTGCCATCCAGCC